GGTCCATAACCTGTAGGTTATGTGTTTAGATGAAGCACTGAGATCTTGAGGAATGCTAAAATAAGTTTTACTTGCATAGGAGAATATAACATCAGAATACAGCATTGTGCAGGAAACATAAAAGGAAAACTACCAGTGTATTATAGATAAGCAAGCATAGAAAGACTAACATTGCTCTACAGCACCATCTAGAGCTCAAAAGACATAACAGTAGAATTTCAGTAATATGCTGTTGTATTGTATGATGGTGGAGCGTTGCAGGCCAGATAACTGTGGAGTATACCAGATGCTGCATGGTGTAACAGGGGCACATGGGAGTCATGTGAATGCACAGGGATGGATTTAGGGACATAGGAAAGCTCAGGTGCACCCTTGGAATCATGGGTTAGCACAAGGGCTAACTAGAGACACAGGAGTGCCCAGAAGTTACAGGGGTCACTGGAGACACAGGAGCACACGGGGTTACAGGGGACATTGGAATATAGAGAAGAGTGTGATAAAACTTGGTCCTTTATTGATGCAACAACATATCACAAAGCACATATGACTCTTCTCTATATTTCTTGTAATTGGGGCACCATCCGCTTATCATTGCAGCACCCACCAGAAACGTTGGGACCTACCAGTCTGGAGTGTGATGAGACATGGGCAATAATAGGAGTCATTGGAGATGCAGGAGTGCATAAGAGTCACTGGAGACACAGAAGCACACAGGGGTTACTGACGACATAGGAATCACTGGAGACAGAGGCGTACTGTCAGGGGGGTACGAGTGGGCCGTGAGTGGAACCCCTTGGCAGGGGCGGCAAGCCAAAGTCCGAGGTCGTGGTATACAGGGAAAATCCAAGAAGAATAGTCAGGTCCAATCCGGGCCGAGGCAGGCAGCTAGTTTCAGTAACGGAAGGGTAAGCCAAAGGGTCGGTAATCAAGAGTCCAAGCAGAGGTTCAGGAATAAAGACAGGTTCAAGGCACAGGGAGCTGGGAGATCACACCATAGGGATAGAATAACTCAGCAATGAGCCAGGGCTCTGACTGGGCTTTTATACTCAGTGAAGGATTGAGACCACTCCCCGGCTACCGAGGCAACCAGGTAGCCTCTTCATCAGGAGCCAATGGCGAGAGAGGGGCAGAGGGTGTGTGCTGGGAACCTCCCCCAGCAAGGATCACACCTGATACCAGTAACAGGTGCACTAAGTGCATGTCCCCGTGCCTGCGCGCGCAGCCTGTCCACCGCGCACTTGTCGCGAATGCGTACCCACAATCCTGGTACCAGGGGTCCTGCCAGGAAGGGGAACCCATGCCCCCCGCCGCACATGGCCACCCCGAGGAGAGGTAAGCCCCCTAGTACCCTGACACGTACAGAGGAGTTACTAGGGTAACTGGATACAGGTACAAAGAACTAGAGCAGGGGGCTAGGCTTAGGCATAGCAACATGTTGCTGAAACAATGAGCAACATATTGCCCAGCCCATTAAGCAAGCACCAATCAAGGGTGGTGACTGGAGTCTCTTCCATCTACCGCCTTTGCCCCGCCTCCTCTGCTACAGTCTTCGGCCCTCCAGTCTCCTCCATCTTCACCCTGCCTCTTCGATCTCCACCGGGTGTCCGCCCCATCTCCTGTCTCCGCCTCCTGCCGCTCCGTCCCCGTCTCCTCCTGCTCTACTGCGAAGGGCATTCAGCTAGTGCGTCCGCCCAATCTCCTGTCTCCGCCCCGTTCCGGGCCCCATCTGGCATAACAACCGAGGACGTCGGCGGTGCGGCGCCCCCCTCCCCCTGTCGCTGCACCCGGGGCAGCCACAGCGCCAGCCCCCCCGGTTGTTACGCCAGTGCTTATCTCAGAGAGTTTTGCTTTCTGTCTGAAGAATGTACAGTATTTACACACTGCGCCTGACAGTGCCACGAAAGCGAGTTGGTTATTGTTGTAAGGTAGTCAAGCAGTTATGTGAAATTTTGTTGCTTGGATATGGAAACTAATTGTTCAAAACCAGGTCGGTAATGAACATGCCAAGCAGAAGGAAAATGTATTTTGCAGATAAAACAATAAATGTTTAATAACAATCACTTTGATTACAGATTAACATTTTCTGTTACACACAAATAATGAATAGGTTTTCAGCTACACACAGGGCCATGTACCTTAACTATTAACAGAAATGTATCTTATTTGTGTATCACTCAGCTGTAGATCCTCAAATCATCTCTGAATTGGTACTGACACTGTCCTTCCTTCTGGAGGGTGGCTACTTTCGTTCCCTATGTTCCCTGTGTGTGTTGTAAAGTAGCCACCGCTCCAAGCTCACTCCCATTATGAACTACAATCTCATATTTAGTTAGATAATTTGTATTGAAGTTATAAGCTATCACTGGAGTATATCTGGTTCCCAGTCAGATGAAGATTTTGATGCTCTCTGTTTTCTGTCCAGAATGTTGTAGAGACTCCTTCTGATTTGGAGGATTCCTCTTCAGAAAAAATTCTCCTTCGTGGGGTTGTCACCAAAATTATATAGCACTGTTAACTGGTGAGGTCAGGGTTACAAGTTTGGGTTCCTGAAAATGAGGGAGGTCCCCAAAAACTTTTCTGGTGCTTTCTCTAGTAAAGGAAGTTCTTTATGCTGCCTGGCAACACTCAGATAAACTGTTTTCTCCTCCAAAAATGTTGTTTGGCAGTGCTCTTTTGAGGATTTATTCCTCAGGAAATGGTTGGTACCAGAGGTGGATGCAACTATTTTTTCAACTGAACAAATCTCTAACGGTTCTGGTAGAGGGTGTTCCTGCCCTGGAAGACTCATATTTTTATAGGGTTTACTCTCCAGACTTCTGTGATAGCCTAGAGGTTTATCAGTCCTTTGGTGGTTTGGACAAAGGGTACTGTAAGTCCAGAGACCTAGGTTTAGTGCCTTCTTATCAGGAGGTGTTGGGAAAACTAGGGCTTTATGTCTTTGTGTGGATGCCTTGATTGACACAGTGTGCCAGCTAAGCTAGGTCTTTTTTTTTTTCCGATTCAGATGTGTTGTTTCCTATGGCTCAAATATTGGTTGGCAAAACCTGTATGCAAGAAATGGTTAGAGATAATTTCCTTCACTGGAAATCATCTCTTTGTGAGAGGCCTGGATTTATTAGGAAGGCCTAGCGTGGAAAGGGCTAGGGTACCACTGAGTAATCAGTCTTCGGATATAGTTAATTGGCCCTCCTTTCGGCCCTCAGGCTTCACACCTTCTAATGGTAAGCAAGATTTCCAGGAAAAACGCAGGACTTGGTCCACTAATATACTATACCATAACCTAAGCCTTTGCTATTAAGGGATGCCCCAACTCTTTCAGGTGGGTGCATTTGCAGAGGTTTGCAAAAAATTAGTTTTGCACGTAGATGCACCCAACCCGCATTGGGTGCGTCTACGTGCAAAAACGAAAATTGCACCACACATGTTACATATTGCCGCGAACGCCGGATAGAGAGCAATAATTCTAAGGCCATAAATCACTGTTAACACTAGACTGATGAGCAGTTAAAGCTTTTAAAGTGTCGCCTATGCAAAATGTTGGATATTGTAGTTCTTTGCACAGATGCACGCAATTTTAAGACTTAACATGTTTGTGTCTATTTACCTGGCGTGACCCTGTCTTTTATATTTTACCATAAAAAGGTTATTATATTTTTATTACAGTTTCTGTGCACTAAATTTCATTTTAGTGCATGTTATCCTAAAAATACTAGTTTGATAAACATTTGCACAAATACCATGCAACATAAAAAATTGCAACTAGCATTTTCTTATTCTACGGGGCCTCTGCTTTCAGCAAATATATAATTATTGGGGGTTTTAGGCAGTTTTCTAGCTAAAAATTCAGATTATATAATGTGTGTGCATATAGTAAGAAATTGCTCCGGACAGCAAGTGGTTAAAGAATTTGTGTATTTTCAATGTTCCCCTCAAAGCCACATGAAAAGATCCTCAAGAGAAGAGAAGGGCTTTTTTTTTTATATTTGCATTGGTACATATCCACCATGGCAGTGCCAAGCTTCCCATACCTATTTTTAACGTAGTTTCCTTATAACCCTAAAAATTGTCAGAACTTACTAACAAGATTTGCCTCCCATCGACTTCAGCAGTGTTTAATGCTAAGTTTGGGTTTCATGGATTTTAGGCAGCATGGTCCGAACTCCTGCAAACCTAAACCTAAGGGTTAACTACTCATTTGTGTCTAGCGAGGAAAATAAAAGAAGTTATACTCACCTGATCCTCCGAGCTGGCTTGCTCTTTGATCGGTCCCTGGAGCTTCTCTCCCCCTCCACTGCAGTGGGCTAAGGTCCCATAAATCATCACATTCTATACACAGTCTATAGGACATAAGGACACTGAGGGAGATTCCATTGCTGCAGCGTAAGAGTAGATAGGCTCAAGGGAGTGCTGTCACAGCCTGGCTCCGAGGACTGGGTGAGTATAACTTTGTTATGTTCCTTGCTAAAGGGCCATCTTTGATATTGATTGGACCCTGGGCAAAAATGTTCTTGGGCAGCCCCTACCCGCCACGCCCCGACCCACATCCACCATACAATGCAGAGCAGATAGGAGGAGACAACAGAGGGAGACATGACCCCGTGTGAGACATCACGCGGTAACGCTACGCGGTGTACGTCAAGGGCGGAACAACACTTACAGTATGTGATGCTGATCGCACAGTAAACAGAACAGTGCAACGTGTGTATCTTTTGCAGGGTAAAGGGGACGCTGCTTTGGGCCCCACAACAATGACTGGGCCCGGTGCAACTGCCCCTTTTGCCCTGCGTTCAAGACAACCCTGTCTACACCAAAACAAGCAGTTAACCCTTGTAGTGGGGCTAAACCCGCACTAATAATAGCTTTTCCTGCTTTAAAGTATACATTTTTGTCCGCAAAATAAATTGGTAATCAATGTTTCATTTTGTTGACAGGTTCTGTTAAATATCTCTTCATATCTAGCCATGTCTATTGAATAATCCAACTTTAATAATGGTTTGCAGATTACCTATTTAACTCATGCCTGCATGGAACTGAAGCTGGGGCAGAAATATATGGTATTTGATCCTTGGGTGATTGGTCCTGCCTTTGCTCGAGGATGGTGGCTACTTCATGAGCCCCCATCTGACTGGCTGGAGAGGTTGTGTCGTGCTGACCTCATTTATATAAGCCACATGCACTCTGATCACCTTAGGTAAGTGTGCACTTCAATATTACTAAATATCATTATTTTCCAACAATGTCATACACAGAGCCCAACTCCAGCTCTTTTTTTAAATCTTTAAAACAAGGAATGGGTCCCTTCAAAAGATTAATCTGTTTTGTGCTACCTTTGTCCCCACGGCAATGATTTCCCATCACTTCCAGTCCTGACAAACAATGAGGGTAATCTCCCCAATGGGACACATACCACAAGTAAAAACCAGACAGAAAATCTATCTCTTCCCTACTCTGTGCCAAAATGAAAAAGGTTTTATCTGAAGTTGGGCTGTAACAAATACAATAATTACTGTTTTATTCAGTTTACTTTAGTTCTGCAGCTATTTTATGCATATTGCTAAGAGTTTTGTTATTATAAAGAGAGATAAATGTCTACTTTACTTTTTTCACAACTTTTTTTTCTTTTTCCTGATAAAATGGAAACGACACATTCAGCTAACAGACCACACTCATGTACTGTGCATCAAGAATGTTTTTAGGATAACTGTACAGCAGGTTCACTCTTCCATTATTAGCAGATATGAAAGCCCTTTTTTTCTTTCCTTGTGGGATTTTTATCGACATGTATCTTCTGGCAAGCTTGTATGCTACTCCATAGTCACTGTGGCTTACTTTGCAGCTTCTGTATTTGTATACTCCTTGGCTCTGTCTTGGGGGACCGTACCCAGACCCCACCTGGAAGAAGCTAATAGGTGCTCACCTTGGCACAAAGAGCAATGTTATGAGTTACCCACAGGTCCTGAGGTCTACCTGTTTGGCATGACCTTGCCCCTGTAGGCCCTTTCCATGGGTATGCCACTGAGAGGGTGGAGATCTGGTTGGGACTTCTCTTCCCTTGAAATCCCACCTGTCCTGCTCCAAGAAAGCGCTGGTTGGTAAGTAGTTGAGGACTCTGCCCAACTGGAAGCCACAGTGCTGATGCTCCAGGCCCCTGGGGTTTACAAAGGTAAGAGCAGGGCATGACAGATTCAGTCAGATTCCGTTTTTTGTTTTTTTTATTGTTGCCATTTTGCCCTAGCCAAGGGAACAGCACTGCCATGACCTCCGCTACATATGCTGTGCTGTGCACCATTTTTCTCTGCATGGCACACTTTCTGACTCTCCCTCTTCTGCTTCCTGCCTGCTGCAGCAACATACTACAGCACAGCTTGGATGCATCTAAATGTTCTCCGTACTTTGCGGCTATCTGGGTCCAGGACGATTCGGATGCTTGGGTCCAGAAGATTGTCTCCAGGGGCTACTACCTGGAGTTCCAATCTATGTCTCCACACCGCTTCATGCCATTCAACCAGTCAGCTTCTCTGAAAAGGCAGGTGCATCTTCATAGTGCTCTCAAGTAGCTTCTTGAAGAAGGGGTAAATAATTTTTGTTCCAGAACAAGAAAGGTTCCATGGTTTTTACTTAAACCTGTTTACAGTCCCCTAAGCAAAAGAAGGCATTCTTCCCATTCTGAAACTCCACATCCTCAAAAATTATTTCCAGTTAAAAAATTTGGTATTGGTCGATCATGGCCTCCCTGGAGCACGGGTCAGTGCAGTTGTTTCTTCTCTGCTGGACCTCACGGCTGCAAGGTCATCCAAACAGGATTATGTGAAACACTGGCAGAGAGGCTTCTTCATTTGTCAACATCTGGATTCCAGGGAATAGTCCCTTCACCTAGAAGTGTTTCCAAGCCCTTGGTCATAGGTGGGGATGCTAGATCTCCTGGCCCCCAGATTCAAAAACAAGCTAGACAGATTTATTTCCAGGACCAGGGATTGTTGGGCCTTCACAGTGGATGCTCTAGTGACTCTGTGCAATAATCTCAATCTTATTTTCGCCTTTCCACCACTGCAGCTTCTCATCGCCTGCTTTGCAAGATGGAGGGTATTCCTGTGATCCTTATCACACTGAACTAGACCAGGAGGTTGTGGCACTCTACCTAATTAATCTCCTGGTAGGCTCTCTGTGGCCCCTCTGTGAATTGTCAGGCTTTTCTGTCCCAAGGACCAGTTTTTCATCCTGTTTTTCAGTCAATGGCATTAATTACCTGGTTGCTAAAGCTCAGATTTCAGACTTGGTCATCCCTACCCTTCTCATAAAATGTACCTTTGCACTTGGAAAGCCTTATTCTCTTGGTGGGAAGTCAGTGGCTTCTATCCCTGAAAGTTCTCTGTAGGACGAATTCTGTCATCTCTTCAATCTGGCCTAGACTAGCAGCTAGCCTTGAGTATCCTCAAAGGTCAAGTGTCAGCCTTAGCCATTCTTTTTTAAAGATTGCTGGCTTCTAACAACATGGTGAAGGCAATCATACAGGGTATTGCTCACATTGTTCCCAAGTGTACAATCCAGTAGGTCCATGAAACTCCAAACTAGTTCTGTGAGCTTTGCAAGAATCTCTTTCAACCTAATAGGGATATCCCCTTGTCTTCCCTCCTAACTTCCTTGTGTTACATGGGGATAAGGTTCTTTTGCACCCCGAAACCACCCATCTTTACAAGATGGTCGCCTCCATCCACCTTAATAGGGCATTGTGCTTTCCTCTCTATATCCTGCATATCCTAGGAAAGGGGTAGGCAATCTTGGCACTCCAGCTGTAGTGAAACTACAAATCCCATCATGCAGCTGCCTCAGGGAGCCATGCCCGTGGCTCAGTCTGGCAATGCCTCATGGGACTTGTAGTTCCACAACAGCTGGAGTGCCAGGGTTGCCTTCCCCTGTCCTAGGGATACAGTCTCAACACTGTCTTAACGTAGTATGAGTTGTTCAAGTCTATCTCCCTGCTACAGCTTCTCTTAGACAGTTGGATTTTCCCTCTGGCATTTCAGAAGGATTAGTTGTGGTATTATTCAAACCTATTGTAAAGCGCTGTGCAAACTGTTGGCACTATATAAATTCTAGATAGATCCATTAGCTGCACGCTAACCCAGGCATAGAGTGCAGCTAATGGATCTGTCATCTGTGTGCAGCTTTTATATGCTGTGCCTTGTTCTGTTTACTTCTGGATTTAGGATTATCTTCTGATTTGAAGGCTTGTTGGCATTGCTCTCTTGTGAGTATAGTGTAACTCTTGCTTCTACAGTTTGCTCAATAAAAAAACTGTCTACACCAGAGAAGGCAACCCCTGCTTATTTTTATGTTTTGACTATATACATTCTATATAAAAATATGGTTTAAAGCAGTGGTTCTCAACCCGTGTAACCTCGGGACCCACATGTTTCCTTGGTCATTAAGGCGTGACCCAAAAATGATTTCATTTCTGAAACATTCGTCGCGACCCACGAGTTGAGAACCACTGGTTTAAAGGACTTCATAGGCATTTCAGCATCAGATTCCCAGATTTGCAAGGTGGGCATCTGGGCTTCTGTCCACACGTTTCTTAGGTTCTACCATGTAGATGTTTAGGCCTCCTTTGATGCCAGTTTAGGTCATAAGGTGCTTACTTGAGTTCTTTTGAGTCCTTACTTGAAACTTGTGTGATGCGGGCCTGTTGGCGTTGGTTACTGTATTGCCCACCCCTCAGTTGAACTGATTTTGGATGTTTCAGTGGTCTAAGGATTAACCTCTTGCCGTCCGCCCGTAGTAAAAAAAACGGACGGACGGCACTGCTGCATTTGCGGGTTGCCGTCTCCAGACGGCAATTATTTTCTGCTCGCGCGCGCCCCCTAGCGGGCACGCACGGGCAGAAAAGACCCGACGTTTAAACACACCCGTTACCGGGTGTTTGACATATAGGCGATCAGCGGGTCCATAGCCCGCCGATCGCCTATATGTGCTCGTCCTGATCGTGCTGATCTCCGTCCGGGCTGTGAATGCAGAAGTGATGTGTATTACATCACTTCCGCATTCACCTGTCAGTCATCTGGCTGCTATAGCCAGAGAGAAGAAGCTGATAAAGCAGATCTCTGCTTCATCAGCTTCTTTTGGGGTCCACAGGTGAAAAATGGCCTTGATGGGAAGGGGGTTTAACACCGCAGATGTCAACTGGTTAATGTAGCCTTGTCCTGTAATGTACAATTCAGAAAATAGGATTTTTGTCTTACCTGTAAAATCTCTTTCTTGGAGTACATTATAGGACACAGACCCCCTATCCCCTCTGTTCCTATGATCCACTCCTATTATTGTTTCCTAAACAAATGAGGTTTGTTGGGAGGGTTTACATAGGGCTGTCCTTACAGTTTGTTTGCCAGTGTCCAGTCACCTGAAGACAGCTGCATATACAGTAGCCCAATGTTCTAAGGATTAAAAGAACCTTTGTCCTGTAATGTGCTCCAAGAAAAGGGTTTTACAGGTAAGACAAAAATCTTTGATTTATTCTTAACAAGAAGTAAAGGGCTTTAAAACAAGCCCTCAATGACCTCTCTAGCTTTATGTACTCTAAAAGTAGTTTATCCTTAAATATCACTACAGAGACTTTGAATTGCATTTTCAGTCAGTTTCTAATACCTTACAGCACCTCCTGTTTGTTTACATCAGAATGTTGGTGGGCTGCCAAGTCTCTGTTGCCATAGAATATAAGGGCAAAGGAGCTGAAATTTGAATGCATTTTTTTTGTGAACTTTTGAAGATGCGTTTCTCAAATATGCCTATGACTGCAGTAGTCATTCAGAGTTTTTTGTAAAGTACTTTTCTGTATCACCCATTGAGGGACAGAAGATTGTAGAAAGTCTATGACCTATGGGTTATACTGCAGCCTTCAGATGGTTTTAAACACTGGCAAAACAAAAACCATTAAGCCAGCCCCTGTATAAACCCACCTCAACTGCTATGCCTCGGATTTTTTGCTAGCGTCCTAGGACGTTGGATGCCTTTTCCTCAGCTCTGCTGTGGAAAACCCTAATTTTTTTTTTTTTTATACTATTTCCTCTTCCATTAAGACATATTGTTTTTCCAGTGATAGTTTTTTTGTTAACTTTAGTCAAGACCTAAATTATGCTGCCTAAGCTTGGCTCTTCATAGCAGCCATCTGGTTTCCTTTGCTCTTGCATTTGAAGTCATACACAGACCTTGGTGTACTGAAGATTGTGGGGATAACCTAGAATGTGACCCTTGAGCACTGGGCTTTGCCAGTGGCGCTATCCTAGCATAGTGTACAGTTGTGATGTGGGATATGCGTGAATCCTGAACATAGGGCATGAACCACATTGAGGTCTATGGGAGCCGAATCTTCCTTTTTCTTTTTGGCCTTTGCAACAGGTTACTGTTATTCCACTTGTATTTCCCCCATGGCAGATGTTCAATTATCCTCCACATTGTTGGTAAAGGCTTATGGCTCCTTCAAGTTCCAGTTTCCCGTTGCAGTTTGTTAGCACTGATCTGGAACATCAGGCTGATTTTACATGTCTTTCATCAACAATGTCCTTCTTTACCTTGTTGGTTGGTATTCATCTTGCATTAAATTCCACATGTGTTGGGTTTTTTTCTAGTGCCCACCCCTTGGCTATACTGCTTTTGTATGTCCCACATGCCATAGACTATTCTACAATACTGTTTCCCTCAATGGATGATAAATAAAATAAGGGCTTTTGTACTTGCTGTATTATCTTTTTCTTGGAGTACATTGGAGGCATAATGGCTGGGGTTATATGGAGGCTGGCATAACGGTTTTTGTTTTGCCAATGTTTAAACCCCATGTCATAGACTATTCTACAATCCTGCATCCCTCAATAGACTCCAAGAAAATAGTAAGTATAAAATCTTATTTTATTGCTTATGATATGTAAATACTTTAATGTGCATAATCTGGGACACAGGTGTACTTTACATTTACTTAGTGTGCAATGGAATCCTACTTGTCTTACCATTGTCACTTACTAGCAAGACCAATTTGAAACCTCTCTTGCCATTTTGCAATTATAATGAAAAAAGGCCATCTTCACGTACACCACTGATTAATGTTAAAACATGCAAAGTATTGTGTTGGGGAGCTGCCTTCCATATGGAGGTGGCAGTTTCCTTGCTGGCACCAGTGGCATCGCTACAGGCCCTCTCTAACCTAATTTAACTACTTACCTAGAACAAACTTGCAGACAAGTGTGGTCAGAAGTTCAGAATTTATATGCATATTTAATTAAGGTCAGTGACACAGAAAGTGTTGAAGCTGTAGAATCAACCTGACAACCACAAACTTCAGAAGGAGGAAAGCTGTGGTTGCTCACATGTCTCTCACAGTACAGGTGTCCTTAAAGGATACTTTGTGGAAAAAGCCCTCTATTTTAAAAATAACAAATGTGGTGCTGCAAATATGGAGAATAAGGACTAAAAATAATGTAAAATGACTTTTTCCTCCAGAAAGAGAAAATAACAACTAAGATCAGTTCTTATTATGTGTATCTTGTCATTGGGATACTATGTCTGTAATTTTCTTGTTTCATTTTTGCATAAAGCAGGGCTCTTTTCATACGTTATAATAATACATTGCTGGACTTTTCCCCAAATCTAGTTATCCTACACTCAGGAAGCTTGCTGAGAGAAAACCAGATGTGCAGATATTTGTTGGAAAAACAGAACGGCCTGTGTTTTGGTACCTGGACAAGAGTGGTGTTACTCTGACAAATGTCAATGTTGTCCCTTTTGGAATCTGGCAGCAGGTGAAACAACACTTTAAATGAATATTATTTTCCAACATGTGTGATATATATTGTATTAAAAAATCTGTAATCTGTAAGTTATGTGCCATGTGTAATGATATAATGACAGGGTTGCAAAGGGAATCTAATAAAACAACACAAGATGATATTGCTTGTTTTAAATCTTGCAAGTTTCCAGGCTTTTCCATCATCTAGCTTCACTGTCTAGAGAGTGAGTAATTCAGAATAAAGCGGAGGATGTGGATGACTACCTGGGAACCTGTGGGTAATAAAACAAGTCAGCAATGGTAGCTGCTTGTAGGTGACCTGTTGCTAGCTGGGAGAAGTCTGAGCAGAATAAACCCATAAAAGAAGACTTATGCTTATCTTTCTGGTGGGCAGTGTGGTAAATCTCCATTCCCTTCCTAAGCTGCTGTCTGACATTTCAGGATGTGTTGGATAGCTTTGTGATTCATTCAGCAAACCCCTATGTCCAGGGCCGGACTGGGACTAAAAATAGGCCCGGGCATTTTAGACTGAGCAGCCCAATCACGTGACCACCAACAGGCCCCACCCCTCACAACAGGGGGCGGAGCCAAACACAGAAGCGTAATCGAGGACATATTGCTATAGAGAAACGTATCTCGCTGGCCCCCCAACCCTCCTGGCATTCTCTGCACTAAAGTAGCTACCTGAGATACTTTGGTGGGCTGTGCAGAATCTATGCTGGGCTCTGCCAGCACAGTCCTCTTACCTTGCACGGCCTGACCCCTTTGGAACACGGCCTCCTCATACTCGGCGCCCGACACGGCCTCCTTGTCATCTTCACTGCCCGACTGGAGCTTCAGCGACGCCTCCCGCCTCCTCCGTGGGGGTATCTGCCTCTTCCATGTCTCTGCCTGTTCCATCTCGGGGGCACTCAACACATTTTTTTCTCTCATGGGGGCCGGTTGCCATATTTCATACTTTAAAATAAAGTGTAACTATATCCAGTTTAAGTACTACAGACACCAATATACACACAATAAGGTCCTATTCATATCTGTAGGTTTAGGTGCAATTAGGGATTCCTGCATCAGAAACTTGCATTTTACTGCAGCAGAAATCCCTAATCTGGCGTTTACAAGTGACAGCTGTCACCTAGTCAAGTTAATGATCAGGTGACAGCAGCTCCATGTAAACGCATGCACACCGCATGTAGTGCTCCCACACCAGCGCCCTCTAGTGTCTACTCTGTGGTAGTGCCGGCTCTGCTCGCTACCACACAGTAGACACTGCCCTGCTCAGAGCCGGCTATCGGGCATAGTGGACGGACCCGAACACAATCAGGTTGATTGTGTTCGGCTCGGCCCACCGGGCAAGTGCCCGGTTTGCCCTATGGCCAGTCCGGCCCTGCCTATGTCAATACTACATCTGGTAGTGAAGTAGGAGTTGACAGAAGGAACCACAGTGTGGAGCAGGAAACACACTATCTGACACACTCGATAGTGTCCAATAGCAGTGACGGTTGTAACTCACAAATGAACTGATGATTTCCCCTGCCGTCTGTTGAGCAGGTTATTATTATTATTCTTTTGCATGGTTATTCTGCTCTAACTTTTGCCAGCTGGTAACAGGGTCACTTTACCCTCTTACTGACCATTACAATAATAAGATTACATTTAGTGGCCTGTGTTAGTAAACATCCTCAATACATGTATTATATACTTTACCTTTTCATAACTCCTATAGGGTTCCAACTGTTGTTTTTTTTTCAAGGTGGATGCAGATCTCAGATTTATGATACTGATGGACGGAGTTCATCCTGAAATGGACACTTGTATTATTGTAGAATACAAAGGTAAAACTTTTTCCAATTTCTGTTTCCAATATATTTTGTTACTATTACTATACAAGATTCATATAGGGCCAACAGTTTGCACAGCACTTCACAATGTAAATGGAGACAGAACAGTTAAAGAGGGTTAGGATGGCCCTGCTTGTAGGAGCTTGCAATCTACAAAGGAGGGGCAAGGGATACAATAAAGTAATAACTGTGTGGGGATGAGTTGATGGAGAAAGCAAAAGTTCAGTTGTTAGGCAGAGGCGGAATAGGATTCACTGAAGAGGTTTTAGGGATCATCTAAAGGCAGAAAGAGTAGCAGATTTATGGATCACCTAAAGGCAGAAAGGGTAGGAGATAACCAGGCAAATTTGGGTAGGGAGTTCCAGGGAAAAGATTCTGGAGAAATTCTAAAGGACTTATCCAGTCTCTAGTAGTTCTTCATAATTCACAAACCAGTATGTGACTTTGATACCTATAGGTCATAAAATCCTCAATACGGTGGACTGCACTCGGCCTAACGGTGGAAAGCTACCCACAGATGTTTCTGTGATGATGAGTGACTTTGCTGGAGGTGCATCTGGGTTTCCAATGACATTCAGTGGTGGAAAGTTTACAGGTAAGCCTTCAAATCTGTAAAACAAAAATTCTGCAAGTTCTAAGTTATAACTGTTTGCTTTATATGTAGTATATAATAGCAACATTTGCCCATTTGTTGACTAGGATGACTACTGACTTCCTTGCACATTTCCTAGCAGTATTATTGTACAATACAGTGCACAGAGTTCAGCAGTTTGGGAAATGCAATGCATGGCAGCGGTTTTTGTTACATTGGCAACGGTTAGTGAAAAAGTGTGTGAGTGCAGTGGCGATCAGTAGAAAAGTGTGTGGGTGACGTTGGGGCAGTAGAGAAGTGACTGGGCGCTGTAACATTTAGTGGAGAAGTCCATTAATGAAGTGGAGGACACTGTAGATGTATGCAATGTGCAGCAGTTCAAGGGCAGTCAGTGGAGAAGTGAATGTAAGTACAGAGGTAGTAAGTTCAAGAGTGCATGTTTGTCAAGTGGTGACCATTGGAAGAGTGCTTGGGTGCAGAGGTTGTCATTGGGGAAGTGAGCAGGTGCAGTTATGGACAGTGGAGAAGTGTGCAGATGCAGTGCTGGTCAGTGGAGGAGAGTGTGGGTGCAGTGGCAGTCAGTGGAGAAGTGTGTAGCTATAGTGGTCGTCAGTGGAGGAGAGTGTGGGTGCAGTGCTGGTCAGTGGAGGAGAGTGTGGGTGCAGTGCTGGTCAGTGGAATAGAGTGTGGGTGCAGTGGCAGCCAGTGGAGAAGTGTGCAGATGCAGTTCTGGTTGATGTAGGAGAGTGTGGGTGCAGTGGAGAAGTGTGTATCTGTAGTGATGGTCAGTGGAGAAGTGTGCAGGTGCAGTTAGTCAGTTAAGAAATATGCTGTGTGAGCCAATACACTGCAAATCAGTAAAGTACATGTAGATGCAGTAATGATCAGTGGAGGTGTAGTGGCAGTCAATGGAAAAGTGTGCGAAATGTCCTTTGCATTAGGGTGGAAGCAAAAATTTTAACTCGCATGCCCGCATCACTTACTTGTGGATCCCTTGATGCTATTAGCAGCCAACAGTCACGGGATCCTCAGCCACACTGCAATAGCCATGTAAGTAAGAGGTAGAACAAAGCTAGTTCTCACTCTCTGGGCTCTTTAGGTTTTAAAGTAATATAGAATTACTATACAATTGGGTAAAATCATGCTAATATGTGTCATCTTCTAAAATACAGATATGACAAATTAGATTCTGTTTATATAAGCTGACAAGTTGACAAACCTAGCAGACCATTACTGAAGATTCTGAAGGGCAGATAGAGCTGAATATTGTTCCCCCAGTTTAACAAAGCTGCCTAGGGAGTCTACTTAGCCCACAGGCATGCATGCTCATGTATTGCAAACATGCTCTGCCTACTATCTTTTTTTGCATTAAAATAAGACATTTAGATATTTTGGGGTGTATTTATGAAAACGGGAGCAAAAATAATTTGAAGGAGCTGTTCATAGCAACCAGGGCTATCCCTAGACCCCCGCCAACTGATTGTGGAAAGGGCGTTGGGGAGATGCTGGCAGTGCACGAGATGGCCAGGGGGATGGGGGGCTGTTGTGCTGGCAGTGCACAGCGAGACCAGGTGGGAGCAGGTGGGATTGGTGGGTGCACCAGGGGGGGTGCAGGGGAGTGGTGTTACCTCCGCTGTCCTGCCCACCTCTCTGACATCATTGATTGCCATGGGCTGGCCAGAGTGTCCCGCTTAGCTTCTGGCAACCAGTGATGTCACTGGTTGCCACGAGCTGGGCGGGTCACCAGCCAGACCGTCACAGTTCGCTAAGAGCTTTTAGAGGGGCTGCCAAGCCTCTTCCCAATGTTAAGGATATGTGGCATGCCTGGGGAAACAGTCAGATATGGATTTTGAGGGGGACCTCAAGTGTTTTTTTTAGAAACAGAACAAAGCTGGACGGGAATTGTCATCTAGCAAAAGTTTGTTGTTTTTTTTTTTTTTCATATCTCACTTTTGCAGGATACATTATAGTGGTGTGCAACTTCACATGCCTAAGTTTTACGGCATCCCTCAAGCACGTTATTTTAAAAAATTGTCTATTTTTTTTTATAAATTCTTTATTTCACATTTTCCAAACAATACAGGTACTATATCAAGAGATATGGTAGGAGGGGGAAGAGGGAGTGGAGAGGGGGAGAAGGAAGGCGGGAGAAGGAGGATGAGCAACAGTGGGTTATGTGTCAAGCCTCGGCAATGTCCGCTGTTTGCGTGGCTGCCGCTCACTCCCTCAGGAGGAGTTCTGTAGTAGGGCGGTGAATTTGGCCGTTTGGGCAACGTCAGTCCAATAGAACCACGTCTTGCAGTGTCTAGCATGTTGGCCTCTTCCGGACCAGACCAGGTCCTCCATTCTCTCCACCTCTCCAACTTTGTGAAGCCACATGGACATCGTGGGTGCCTGGGACGATTTCCTCAACGCTGGAATACAGCAGCGTGCTGCGTTCAGGAGGTGTGGAAGGATAGACAATTTATAGTGTTTTCTGGGGAAGGAGTTATGGTGGAGGAGAAAAAAGGCTGGGTCCCATGGGATTTCTCTGTCCGTGAATTTACCCAGTAAGGATTTCACAGAAGACCAGAAAGGGGTCACCCTCGGGCAGGACCAGAAAATATGAAGTAAGTCACCGGGAGCTTCGTTACAGCGCCGGCAACAGTTGGGCACAGATGGGTACATTGAGTGGAGGAGTTGGGGGGTTCTGTACCAGCGAGTGAGGAGTTTAAACCCTGATTCCTGGACTCTCGTATGAATGGAGGATTTAAGGGAGAAGTACTGAAGTCTCGTTATTTGGGTAGGAGTGAAACTAACACCTAGATCCCGTTCCCATTTACTGATGTAAGCGGGGACACTATCTGCTATAGGAGTTGGGTCCCGGCTCAGTACTTCCAGTGGGTCGTCACCGCTCAGGGTGTCTAAGGTAGGAAACCTGGTCCCCGTTCCCTGAACCTATACATGAAATGAAACCAGTTGCTACCCATCCGCCAGGGGAGGTGTATATGCCTAACCCTGTGGGCTCCTGGTGGTAGGAAGCTAAGGTATGGACTATCGATGGAGTATATGTAGGGTGGTCTCACTCCCAATCCACCCCCCATAAACTTGGGGGGAGGGGGGAGCTCGCCACCCGACGGGTCAGGTACCTCTCTGCTGAAGTCCCTCCGTGAGGATGCAGCATGATGGGGGAGCCCATTGCGAGGATCTAGATGTCCACCTCCGGTTCTGTCAAAATAAAATAGAATACTGCAAAGTACCTGGAGGAAACAAGTGACAGTCAATCATGAAAGGAGCAATGGTATAAGGAGGGGCGTAGTTCAGATGGGGTATAGCAACAGTAGGAGTTAGGCCTCTCGGGCATTTGGGGGACCAGTGCGAAGCCCTGTCCTCCGAGTAGTGTTGCGGGGGCTGTTGGAGACGCCACCTGAGGAGCGTGGTCGGTAAGGAGTGGTGTTCCGGGGGTACCGTGATACCCTCAATCTCCAAGAAGGCGAATAAAGCAGGTAGATCCTCAGGGGTCTTCAATGTAAAGGTCCTTTCCGATTTCCGAACTACTAGATGGAACGGGAAACCCCATCTGTAGGTGGCACCCGAGTGCCGTATAGCCTCCAGTAGTGGTCGGAGTAGACGCCTCATAAGTAGGGTACGTCTGGAGAGATCCGGATATAGCTGGATAGTTGCACCGTCAAAGTCTAATGGACCTTTACGCCACACACATTGCATAATATCATCCTTAACAGCGAAAAAATGTATTCTGCAGATCACATCTCTCGGCCTATTCGAGTCCTGAGACCTGGGGCCTAGGGATCTGTGAGCCCTGTCGATCTCAATGGGCGTTTCAGGGGGATTGTCCAAGTAAAGGTTGAAAATATCTCGGACAGTGGCCCTAAGGTCCGAGGGGCCAGTAGATTCAGGGAGTCCTCGAATGCGTACGTTATTCCGTCGGCCCCGATTATCTAAGTCATCTAGATGAAGGACAGCGGCAGACAGTTGTTGTTGAGAAGTGGATTGGGCGGTCTCCAGGGTAAGGACCCTGCGGAGAAGGTCAGATTGCGTTTGTTCCACAGAAGCAACCTGGGAAGTAATGGAGGAGAGTTCCTGTTTAACTTCGGCCAGGTCCTGCTTGTAGGCAGTTTCAATACGAGTAGCAAAGGATTCAAAATCCGCTTTAGTAGGAAAGGTGGATGCCAGATCTGCTTTAGTGGGAAGGGCACTTATGAGGCGTCTGAGGTCAGCATCTAGTATCCCAGGGGAGGGGGATTGTTCAGGGGCCCCTGCTGGAGAGTCCTGGAGGGAGTGTAATATGGGTTCAGATCTCCACGAGCCCACAGAGCCCTCAGCAGTGTCCATCACTGGGGGGAGGGACCAATCTGCTGGTTCCCTGGATGTGCAGGGTGATGTGGGTGTCTGATCCCTGTGAGGCCGGGGGGGGAGAGCCACAGCAATCCCCTTACCTCGGGGTTCAGTCGGAGGAGTCTGGCCTGCATTCGGATCCCGATTCCCTGCCATTGCGGTATCGATGACGTCACCGTGGCCCGGGGATTGCGGCCGTGTCTGTTCCTCAGCTAACCCCGGCCCTTCTACCACCTCGGGAGAGGGGTCTGGCGGCGATTCGGGTCTGATGCCCTGTGACCTAGTCTCCCGGTGAGTCGGGCGGTTCTCGGTTCTGGAAGGGGAGATAGATGCCGCGTCGTCGGAGGGGGTCAGGCCGTAATTTAGGCCGGGTGGTGTGGAGGATTCGTCAGCGGTTGTAGGCCTCGGCCGCACACGGGGGGGCGCTCTTCAGGGAGGTGGGTGGGGGTTACATATAACCTCTTGAAGGCAGTCTTGGGGGTATACTGTGATCCCCTCGACTTGCCCCTTCTTCTCATAGTGCCAGGAGCTGGATGTGTGGAGAAGTAGGTTCCTTTTCAAGTAAGTCGGGCCGGGAGCACAGAGAATGCACAGCTCACACGGCCATTGCCAAGCCACGCCCCCGTATTGAAATTGTCTATTTTTAATGTTGCCCTTTAAGCTGCATTAAAAGACCCGCTACCCACTAAATTCATTTAGATATTAGGACGATTCTTGGATTTTAATTTCCATGGGTCAGGGATAGGACCTGATTGCAATTGTAGACAAAAAGAAATAGTAATGAAAGCACATTTAATGTATTTTCAGTGTTTTTGTAGATAAACATTTAAAAGAGTTCAACTTGATGTAAATAATCTTATCAATACATGTTAATGTCTTAATGTTCTTTCCATATATTACTACTAGTCATTAATGAACATGAGGAAAGCCATGTTCACTTATTCCATATTAAGGCTCTGTTTCCTGGATTGGCTAGCATTCAAAATTAGGTACTCTCTTCTTGGTTGATTTTAACACAAACACAAAGACATTGCATTGACCCACAGTGAACTCGCACTAGCAGCTAATCTACAAATCTCTGTATTTACTATAATATCAAACAGATGAAAAAGGCAAACATGTAAAAATGTGAAAGTCATTCCTAAATGCCTTTATTGTTACACTTGCAATAATATGTCTGATGTTTACACCTCCCTCATAATTGTTCTTGGAGAAAACATCAGACAAGTTGGATTTTTCATACACCATCACAATTTTTCCCCAAAGGATAAAATAGAATACATGCTACAAGAGTGCATGTAGTGTATCTGTTTGGAAGAAAATGACTACAAGAATATTCCACAGCTTAGAGAGTTGTTGATGTTGTTGGGCTGGTAATGCTAACTAATTGTAGCCTTTGGATCACATTGTGTTCCCCTTTAGTCATTTATCATGGAATTTTTCAAATACACAATTATTTTATTACAACTAGAAATGAGTTGCACAGTTTAAGGCTAGGTTCAAACTAGGGCGATCCGTGACCTCATGGCAATCGTGCACCACCGCCGATCGCGCTGGTGGTGCCATTATTTTCTAATGGCACCTCAGCGGCGCCATGTAGATTGCACGGTTTCCCGCCATGAAACCGCCCATGCCATTGCGCACGATCGCAGTTAAAAAAAAACACGTGTTGCATCTCGCAAAAAGAGGTACATGTACCTTTTTTCAGCAATTGCCGCGCAGATCTAACCCCATTGAAATCACACATCCCAGGATCACAGATATCTGAACCAAGCATTAGGTCTTCAATAGTAGAACTGGCTGAGAATGCATTTTTTTTTTATACCACACTTCAGCCTTATTTTGAACATTGTTCAGTTTTACAGGCTCCCACCCTGTACTGAAATTTGCTTACTCTGATTTCAATGCACGTTGTAACAGTGGCGGAGCTAAGGAACAAAGGGCCCTGGTGCAAGATTTTTTTTTGGGCCCCCCCCCCCAAATTAAAAAAAAACACACCAGGGACCCCGCAGAGCCAAGCAGAGACCCTGCTGAGCCTAACAGAGATCCCACAGAGCACATCTGAGAGTGACCCTGCATAGACTCTCTATGGTGGGCTTTGCAAGGTCTCAGGTGGGCTGGTCAGGCTCCCTTTACCTGCTCCTCTTACCTGTCAGCCCCAAGCCGCCCGCTGCTGGGCCCCGGCCTCCTCCACCTCCAGGCATCAGCTCGGTAGTTCCGCCACTGCGTTGTAACCTTTTTACAATGTGCATTATAAATGCAGCATGTCAGATAGAGCCTGGCTGGAGAAAATCCAGTACCATCTAGCACTATTCTCCCTGCCGTACTGTCACTGGTCTGTCCCTTTCATTCCTTGGATTTCAGTTCTTTCAAAAATGGAGGCTCAGCACTACCTATGGGTGTTACCTAGGGCACTCTACATTCAAATCGGCCTAGGAATACCCACTACTCCAGACTGATATATATCCACCAAGGCATTTTAATATTTGCATAAATCCCCCCAAGTGTACACCACCCTGCCACCAGCCATCATCTACCTGCATTTCACACAGAAGCATGGAGACCTAGTAAATATATCCCTAGGTCTAAAATAAGTTCTGTAAAAAATCAGTAAGATTGTATTTAAATAATGTTACTAGCATGTTGATAAGGGGGTAAACTTGCAATACAAAATATAATCAGATTAAACTTTAAAAGCTTTAATTGACATTTCTGAGTCTCCTTAACCAAGAGTTTCTGTTACAATACCGGTTTATATTCGGCGTGTTCCAGATGCCTTTCTTATCTTTTTTCTTTTCTTTTTCCTTACCATACTTTTACCCCTTCCCTCCCCCCTTATTGGTCTCCTAATATTGCTATTTATGTGCTCATTATGTGAAGTTCATTTTTGTTTTTGTGTCTTTGTGAGCATCTAATATGTCGGATTTATCATGAAAGCCACTACTATGCAGATACATGACCTTTATTGACTGAATATCCGTATTTGTCATACGAGATGCTTTGTGTATTTTATTTCCTTGTCTTGTCCAAAACTTTAATAAAAACGTTGTGATAGTAAAAGCTTTAATGGAAAACACTTTTGTATGTGCCCCCAAACTTTGTGAAGTTTTAATTCTCTCCTTCTCATTTAATGTCAATATAGAGGATTCATTACATATTTATTAAGCATGATGTATCTGCTCTTAATCTGCAGAGGAATGGAAGTCACAGTTCATAAAGACAGAGAGAAAGAAACTTCTGCATTACAAAGCCCAGCTTGTAAAAGACTTGAACCCTCGCATTTATTGCCCTTTTGCTGGTTACTTTGTGGAGGCACACCCATCAGATAAGTAAGTTTGACTTTACATATCAGATGTAACTAGGAATGAGCAGAGTGATAGCCAATGTAACTAGATACATTTAATTTATTTTTGTTGAAATATATACCTAAATGGCCACTGAATTCATTATGTGCTATTAGGTGAAATGTGGTGGGAAAAAAATATTTACCTTTTAATAAGGCCTTCCCATGTTGATCTGCAGGCCCTCTAATGCCTTCCAAGTTACCCCAAGCAACGAACAGTTGAATGGGGTGCCACGGCACAATAAAGGGTTTAAAATATAAATAAAATATGGGGGTAGTGTGTTAAAGGCCTGCAGGGGGTTACAATTTAGCAATAAGGTCCTGTAAACATACAGGGCTGATTGTCATTCCTGACAATGTGAAGGTAGATTACAGGCAATCGTGACATATGTGGGCAAGAAATGAGCAATTGGGATAATACACTGGCAATAAACTGGTAATTGTTTACTAGTGTACTCCTTTGACCCAAAGTCAGCATATTGCAGTCTACTGCCCACTATATGATGACAACGCTGCATGCAATGTAAGCACAATACATGTATGTTTACAGAAAATAACAGAGATTGATAAAATTGTAAATAATAGAAATAAAATGTTTAAATTCTCCATTTTATGACCTTCAACTCTCTTAAGTCCTCTTCCATAATATTAATCAGTTTCTACTTCCCTCTTTCTCCTGGATTTCAGTTGAAAAATCTTTTTGGGATTGTTTTATCTAGGGATGCAATGATACCAATACTAGTATCGGTGCCGATACCAAGTATTTACTCGTACTTACCCAAATGCTCTGATACTTACCCTCGATACCAGAACTTCGGGTCAAAGGGAGATCTTCCTCTGACCGGCAATGCCTCTCAATTCCCTGACTGGCTAGAAAGCCGGCTTCACTTGTAGCTAGGCAGCCTGACTTTCTAACCAATCGGGAAGGCGGGTGGCACATAATGACCCATCCCCCGACCCCCTAGGAACAAATGAAGCCAGCTTCCTAGTCAATCAGGAAGCCAGGAGGCGGGTTGCTAGGCACCCAGGCAGCCTCGGCAAGTGGAGCCGGTGTTCTTTCGCTATAACACCGGCTTCATGGGCAATCGGGAAGCTGGGTGATGGGTCATGATCCGCCGATTGACTTCCTAATAATCCGGGCACAGGGCACCAGTACTTTGTACTCGGTATAGGCGAGTACCGGAAAAAAAATATCGATACTTGATACCGAAAAACGGTATTGGTGCATCCATAGTTTTATCAAATCTTAGTACACAAGCACTTAATCTAAGATGATGGCTTCATAAATCAGCTGATCTAGTTACTGTAGATCTTCATTGCTCCTTGATAACTCTAATACACACATACCACAGTTCTTATATCCCTCTTTTTGGCTATATAATGTATGAATTAGGCATGTGGAAAATCTTGAATAACTGTTGAAATAGAGGCATGTACCTGTCCTAAAGTGCATGTAAACTCTAAGAATGAACGTCTCTTATTTGCTCTCTATTTCTCTTTTGCTAATTATACAATTGAGTGCAAAAAATACCTGCTTGTGGTTATTTTTGTGAGCTTACAACCTGTGCCAAAGGCCTCTGCTGACTTTTATCTGTGAGTAATATTTCAAGCTCTCCCAAAAATGATCTAAAATAAATCTGTGCAACACTTACAGGGTAAAACATGTGCAAAACACATCACAATGTAAATATTAATACATGATAGACGTGCGCGGCCAAAAAAAAAATGTTTAGTTTAATTTCAGATGTTTCATTATTTAGTTTTTCGGAATTCGGGTCTGAAAGTCAATTCGTTTCGGCATTCATTTTCGGATGAATCTGAATTTTCGTTAATTTGAGATGAGTTAAATGATAATTATGAACGAAAATCTGTTGCAGAAAGATGGCATTAAATGTTTACTTTGTTCCTTTTCAACTTTTGACACTCCACAGAAACAAGAAAAAAAACAGCGTGCGGTTCCCCCAACAATTCATACCAGACCCTTCAGGTCTGGTAGGAATGTTACCACTCTTCCCCACAACCCTGGCCCGATGGTTGTGGGGGTCTGCGGGCAGGGGGGCTCATCTGCGTACAGCCTGTCATAAAGGGGGCACCCAGATGCCGCCCCCCCCTTGTGAATGAGCAAGGGGTACTTGTAAAGAGTTAAATAAATGTAAATAAAAACACAACACCTTAGAATTAAATTAATTTTATTGAACAATAAACACAACACACATTTTTTTAATTATTTAAGAAAAATGTTTTTAAAAGTCCTATGATGTCTTTCTAGCATAAGCCAAAAAATGGAAAAAACAAAACTCCCCTATGCAATGTTTACATTGGGCAGTGGGCAGAAATAAGCAAAGCCTGCTATTGGTTATTTAAATCTGAAATAGCCAATCGCAGGCTGGCTAATAAAACCCGTCCACTGTCTGATGTCAATCACAGAGGAGTGGACCTAAGAGAGAACTTTCTCTCTCAGGTCTGCTCCTCTGCAGGAGCAATAGCCATTCTGCTATTGGCTATTTTAAATTGCAATACCCAATAGCAGGCTGGCTATTGCTATAACTATTATATCAAATTTTCATTCAATTCAATATAAACCAACACAACCAATTAGTATTCTGTACAACCTAAACTTAGGAAATTGAACATTTCAAACTTATTTTAGCAGATGGATCTCATAGACATAAGATGGCAATCAGAAGATATGACTGCCAACCACTGTTTTTGGAACAATTATGGAAAACATATGCACAACCCTACTATCCAAATGTGCATGTGTGTGCCCTGTAAAGACACCCTGGAAGCCAGTAAACCACTGGGGAACAAAGCTAATTATTCAGGAACATTGATCTAAAACTATTGATCCTTCTTTAATTGGTCAGCTTGAGGTTATCTGCACAGGCCTAAAACCATAGGCCATAGACATACAGTTGTTCTATTCTCAGAAGAGGAGGAATAGATTTTATCTTTTTTCTTTGTAAATTGTATACAATCAATACACATTGTTTTGTTATAATATATCACTGATTTATTCAATTGCAGGTACATTAAAGAGACAAACCATAAAAATGATGCTGCAACTTTGAATCAGCTGATAAGTAAAATGTCAAATGTTTTAACCTGGACACCAAAGCCAGGAGCAGTGCTGGATGTTGGCAGGCTATTGAAAGAGCCATGTGACAGGTAGTGTATCTGCAATTATTTCCTTACAGTACAGAGTAACCTAGGTCACACTTAAACACAGTACAGTACACAATAGATTGCATAATTTATGTCTCAAACATGTGTCACCAAATTTAAGAAGAAAAAGCTTTGCATATTATTATTGTCTCAATAGGATACCCACTATAGTAAACGTTTTTTTTCTTTTTTCATTTGCAAATAATCAACCTAGTGGTACCCAAATCTAGTAGACTAATTTTGAGGGAGGCCGGGCTTCCTCCTGACAAACCTGCATCCAATTTTATCTTCTGCCCCATGTGCTCCAAGATGGAGACTCTCATAGTTTAGAGTTAGGACCGCATTATGAGGTGCCTTGAAGTGACCGGGCGGCTTTCACATTTTCTGCAGAAGACGTATATCTAAACCTCTGTTTTTAACCTTAGTGGTGAGACAAGTTTTTTTACATGCTAGCTTGTGAGTGTGCCAGGAAAACTTTTTGCTGTTTTACTATTTCCTCGACGTGACACCAACTTTTATATTTTACTAAAGATATGGGTAAGAATAAATGTTTTATAACATAAACGTAGGAAACTTTTTTTTCCGAAATTTACGGTACTTTTTTCATTATATAATTAAAAAGAAAAAAGAAAACACCCCCAGTGGTGATTATATACCTCCAAAAGAAGGCTCTAAGTGTCCCTAAAAAATGTTAACATAAATGCCCTGTATATATACACACTGAGTGACCAGATTATTATGACCGCCCCATCAGTACTTCGTTGGGCCACGAGATGACTCCACGAGATGACTTCGTTGTTGCCGGCCAAAAGCATCCAAGTGGCGGCACAGAAGCAGCTTTGCGGTCTGCATCCCACAGAGATGCAGACCGTGTAGCTGCTCCCGCAAGTTTGGTACGCGGTCCGTGGCCGTGTACCAGACTTGTGAGCTGGCTGCGGGCCACATAGTACCGGCTCACGGGCTGCAACTGGCCGCAGGCCAGTACTTTGAGGCCACTGCTTTACAAGGTTGTTTTGAGAAATACTTCTTGAGTTTTTATTTATGGAAAGTAATGACTAGATACTTTTGATGGCTATATAATGGTACATTGTGGTGATTAAAAGTTCTGCTTTTTCATGGGATAGGGAGACCATTGTTGATCCACCAGAAGGCACAAAAATCTTCAAAGATTCTTGGGACTTTAGTACGTACCTGGATCCCATGTCTACTTCGTTTACCGATGAGATCTTTAACTATGCATCTTGGATTAAAGAATATTTCACATGGGCTGGGTTCAAAGGCTATAACTTGGTTGTCAGGGTAAGTACAATGATTATCATGATGATGTCTGTATTTCCTCTATTGTTTCTTAAAGATGAAGTCCATGAAGATATAAAACAAAAGAAAAAAAATAAACAACGTAGTTATGCATTTTTTTCCCCCAAAATTATTTTTAAATGCAAATAGTGTAAATTTGTGGATTGCACATGTGCACCGTAGTCTGTTCTTAAAATGCAGTGCTTTCTTTTTTCATTTAAAACTTTATTTAAATTTACACTCTATGCACAGCAGCACATTTGGATGTGTTATGTTGCATCAGAGTGCACAGCACAAACATGCAAATTGACCTTATTTTCAGCGCACACAAACACAGTGGATTAGTGTAAAATGAAGCAATAGGACATAAGGAAAATTGCCTTGTCTATGCGTTGGGACTACTTAGGAAAATGCTGCCCATCATAGCCCAAAGATAAGCAATCTTGACCAAAATGGAAAACTGTGCCCAATTCCAGGCTTGGGTTAGGGAGTTGTCTTGTCTGCATTGCTTCACTGCGGAATAGAAATGTCAGGTCACAAACCTAGCTATGCTCTCTATTAGCGCCATGTTTATCTCAGGACAGAAAAACTAATCATTTGGTGTGCAGAACGGCTCTTATTTATTGATTTCTTATTTATAATGTTATATTATTTTTTCTGTAGATGATTGAAACTGATGATGATTTTGTTGACTTGCCTCGCGGGTTCAACTACTTGGTGGATTTCTCAGACCTCTCTTTTCCTACTGATAGACCAAGCCGGGACCATCCTTATGAAGAAGTAAGTCTTTAGTTATCATACAGAGTTTATAGAATAATAGAAAGCCTTATAAGTAAAGCAGCCAGCTAGATCATCACTTAGTCCTTAATACATTTACAGTATATATGATCTTGTTATTGGTAAATGCAGTATACATGTCAGCTTTGCTTTATACATTGCCTTAAGTCTCGTTCACACCTAGGCGTATTGCATACGCGCGTCTGTCACGCGTTTTTTTACCGTGATTCACGGGAAAAAAAGTTGCGCGACCGTCGCGCGTTTCCGAAGGCTACTTGGCTGTATCCCAATGGAAACGCGCAACAAAACGGCCCAAAGTAGTACATGTACCTTTTCAGGCATGGGCCGTTTTGTAGCGCGTTAGGGACGGGCGGAAATACGCCAAGGTGGGAACGAGACCATTGAATACAATGGGATTTATATTTTTTAGCGTTTTGTAGAGCGTTCGGCGAGCGTAGAACGCGCTACAAAATGTTCAGGTGTGAACGAGGGCTAATATACTGATGTATTTCTGTGTTACGAAAATAGTAGACAAGATATTTTTATTGCCTTGCCCCATCACCTCCTAGTACTTTTAAACAGCAGGAATTTCAGAAAGGGAGGCTGTAGCCTCATGTATCATAATATGGATTAATAACATTTTTTCAAGGGAAACTATGATAATTTAAGGGTCATTTTAATTTATCAGTTTAAAACATTTCAACTTTGTGTAGTTAAAGCCTGGAACCGACTTCTAACTGAGGTAGTGAGTCAGTCATCAGTAAGTGAATTTAAACGTGCTCGGCATTAATATAAGATAAACTCTAAGGCTAACCATTGGAGATGTCATGAGTATGGACATAATGCTTCTGAGGACATCCATCATCCGCACCGATGTCTTTCTGGGGTCTCACAGGGATTGGACCTGTCCTTCCCTTTCCTTATGTTGCCAACTCCCCTAGCTTTCCCTTTCCTCCCTGCTACCTGCCACCCTCTCTCTCCATGACACCTGAATCATTCCTACTTTCCTCCCCATGCACATGTTTAGGTTTTCATTTTACTGGGGTCATATCCACCCTCAGGGTTGGAGGGGAAGTATTTCTCATATGCAACCTAGTTTAACTACATGTGCTTTCCTCTCTCAAGTCTATTTTGTTCACTGTTAGGAATTTATTTTAAGAGCCATCCCTGCTTTAGAGTGGTCACACAGTTATTTTGTTATCAGTTAGTTTTAGTCAGTAGTTTTTTGTGTTAGTGCTAATTGTTTTAACATTGTGTTTCTTTGACTGCAAATAAAGAATCTTAACAAATGGTAAACAAAAGAAAAGGGCAGACTTGATGGGCCATCAGTCTTTTATAATTCTATGTTTATGTTTTTTCAGATACTCTCATATAAGATATAACACGCAAGGTTCAATGGGACTCATTTTGAATTTTTTATTTTTGAAACAATTAGGTATAATACTGGTATTAGGTTGTACATTATAATTTAAAAGGGTACAATGTTGCTTACAAGCCACATATTTTACAGCAGTGCATAGGAAGCATCCACCTCTTAACATTTAACTCTTAACACATGTAAATACATGCCAAAGGATTTCCAGAGCACTATGGGTAAGCAAGGAATGAGTCACTACTCTAACGCATTCCTTTGTTTGTGTAAATTGCAGCTTGGTAGTGAACCTAATATACAACCTTTTTTCAAATAAACAGTGATATGGATAAACAAGAAAAGAAAATGTGAAAAGAAGATAAGATCTCTGCCTTTTAAGATATAAATCCCATGCCAAATGTGACAAGCTGCAACAATTATGAAGTCACTTAATATCATACAGCAAACAAATTTTATAATTAAATAATTTGTGTTGTGCTAAAGAAATAAAGTGAACATATAACTATTCAATCAGCAAGCATACGTCTGTTCAACCAATATGTGCAATAAATCAACAGTTGAAAAATGACATTAAATAAAGTACAACAAATAAAGTGCATACATTTCACAAAGATACACTATGTTGTCCCACAATACCAAGGGTTTTAATTAGTAAGGATATCCAGTTAAAACATCTATACCAATATATTTAATAATTTAAAAAAACTACTAGTACATGAGTCCAGAACCCCATTGTTGTCACACAAAGAACTGAGTTTTTAAATAAGTGAGTCCAGCTTTTCAGTGCTATACCACTTAAGTTCAAAAAACATTTTTTAAGTAATTCAATCCAATTCCCTGGTGCTGTCACAGCACAAACCACAGTAAGCTCCAGTTCCTCCACCAATGTACAAACCATCACACACTGTGGCCTCTCACCTTACAACTTGCCCTCAATTAGGTTTAAAAACAGTGTTTCCTTTAATAATTGGAGAAAAGGTGCCCACAACAAATAGACTTCTCCAAAAATGTGTATCCCAGTATATATACACTTCAGCACTCTGTCAGCAGCCGTAATGTCTCATAGTTCCTGGTTGCAGCCAGGCATGTGGAAGTAGAAGAAATCCATAGTGCACATAATTTAAATAAAAATCAACCTCTTTTATAAAAATTCTACTCACATAAAAAGCCCAATGAACACACTCCAATATCCTATTTGTTAAAAGATTTGCACCTCCACACTTGCACACATTAAACTCACATCATCTGACTCCACCCTCCGGACTTCGTCAGGTTGATTTTATTTAAATGGTGTGCAGTATGGATCACACTTACTTACTCAGAAAGAGTTTGTTACTTTTCAGTGCACGTTTTTCACAGTATTAAGTGGACCTTTACACTCAAAAATCCAATTTTCCCAATGCATTCCTCTATGTATGATGATTAATAATAGACATGTAAGGTATAAAATGCTGTGATTATGAAATATTTACACCTGCAGAGCATTCACTTCCTGCTTTGAAAGGGCAAAATGTATTCAGTTTGCCAACGCAGTGCACACTGGGATTGCCTTGTCATTAGCAGAGCATTGCTGGGAAATCCATCTGTAATCTCAGGAGATCTCAGGGAAAGGCATTTTCCTCCCCTGAGATGATGTGCATAGTCACATGTCCTAGTCACATGTGCCAGATATCAGGAAGTAAAAGGAGAGCTAGTAACCTGCCCTTGGCCACTGCCAGAAGACTGGGGAAGGAAAAGATAAATAATGTATGCAAAGAATACAAACCTGGCAATTATCTAGAAGTATGTGTTTGTAGATTGTCATTACTAAACATTTCTAAAGGTGTGTTTGTTGTTATTTTAAAGATATGGGTAAAGGTCCGCTTTAAGTGTAGCATTTATGTTGTTATATGCTTAGATTTGTTAGGTACTAGACGCTTTTGGTGTGTGTCCACATTATTATTTATTTAGATTTTTTGGGTGTTTTCTAATTTAGGATTCACATTGTGCCTGCAGCTATATGTTTCTTTACTACATCAGCGCAAGATATTTTGGTGTAATTTATATTGAAAAGTATTATGTGTAGTGTTTTTTTTGGTGGCATGGATTTAATGTGTTTTTAAATGTGTCTGTATTGTTACATCTGTGCAAGAATCAAAAAAGATTTTTTACAGTTTTTTAGTTTTTTAACTAAAGTTCAATATTTCCTCAATCAGAGTATCTCCATTTTTAGAAGTCCTAGGTAATATTTAATATTTCTTATTTACCTAATATTAACTCTTTTGCTGACAGACTTTTTTTTGCAACGTTATAATCCACATTTTAGGCCTGAAAATTACTTAAATCCCCCAAGAGTTATATATTTCCTGAAAGCACAGACCCTGTAGAATAAAATCGCTGTTGCAAATTTTTAAGTCGCATGATTTTTAGCGCAACTCTTTATCAAACCCAAAATTACAGTAAAAAATTGCACTTAAGTTGGTACCCAATTGTTTTGTAAAATATAAAAGATGGGATTGTGCTGAGTAAATAGATAACCAACACGCCGAGCTTAAAAACTGCATGCAGCCGTGAAATGGCGAAGAAATATGGTAGCTCAAATTGTCCAGGTCATCATTTAAAAGTTAATCCTGAATATTGGCCCTAGAATGATTGCTTTCACTCCGGCGAATGTAGCGATACTCAACATGTGTAGCACAATTGTTGTTTTCATACGTAGGCTCACCCGACACATTTTTACATTATTTGCGCACATTCGCGGTGGCAGGGGACTTTCAAATTTTTGGGGGTATTTTTACATTTGTTTTATTTCACTTAAAACTTTTTTATTCTTAACTTATTACTATAGCAAAGGGGGGCTCACAAGCGTTGACAGGTCACTTGTATGCCTGGCGGAGCCGCTAGCGACACAGCAGGCACCGCCAGGTAGCACATTCTTCAGCTGGGAGAGGACGGACCCTCTTCACTCAGCCCGCCCCCTGGCTGCCAAAGACGAGGAAGCTGAACGGCTGTAGGAGTCAGGTTAAGTCCGGTGTGGGGGGAAGGGGGGGGGGGTAAGAAGCTGCTGCTATTATTATATTTATTCACATTATAATGTATTGCTGGGACTTGTAGTCCTGCATAGTTGGTGCTATTCTGCATTGCTGTATAACTGTATAATCATTATACATCACCAACTATGCAGGACTACAAGTTCCAGCAATACATTATATTATTAAGTAGGGATGCACCAGAGTGCGTTGGGAGGGGGTTAAAAAGCTGTTATTATTATTTACATGAGAATGTATTGCTGGGACTGGTCCTGCACAGCTGGTGATATTCTGCATTGCTGGATAATGATTATAAAGCAATACAATAGCACCAACTATGCAGGACCACAAGTCCCAGCAATACATTATATTAGTAAGTAGGGATGCACCAATGTGTGTGTGTTTGTGGGGAGGGGGTTAAAAAGCTGTTGTTATTTACATTATAATGCATTGCTCGGACTTGTAGTCCTGCATAGTTGGTGCTATTCTGCATTGATGTATAATGATTATACAGTAATGCAGAATAGCACCAACTATGCAGGACTTCCCAGCAATACATTATATTAGTAAGTTGGGATGCACACGTACTTGTGAAAATGCCCCATACTAAGCGCAGGCAAAATTACCAGGGTCACAGCGGTCGCATTTGCGACCGGGCCCTGGTGTTCGGCCAGTTGGGGGGAGCCCAGGGAGAAAGAAGAGTGCCCGCCACACTCATGTTTTTGACACTTGCGGACCGCAGTTCAGACAGAGGGATAGGGAAGACGCTGTAGTGGGGGGAGGTGGCCAGTCAGGGAACTCCATTTGCATGCAGTATTTTTTCTGACTGCAACGGAACGCAGGCATTGATTTGCCATGCATTCCGGTGCAGGCGATCGCACCGCAGTGTCATTCACTTTACTGCACCGCCACGCCCCCTCCCACCCCAGAACGCAGTGAGCTGTCCGGGATGCAATCCAGTGTGTTCCAGCACTAAATCAGCCGGAACACACTGGAGCTGGTGTGAACTAGCCCTGAAAGTTATAACATACATACTGTTTATTTAATAGGGGGAAAAAAGGTATCAAAATCATGTTTTTTTTTGGGGGGGGGGCCTTAATGGTTTATTGCACCGGGGCCCTGAGGTTTCTAGTTACGCCTCTGCCTGTGATGCCAGTCTCAGGCACGCAACATGGGCAGCGGAGCCCAGGAAGAAAGGCAGGTGTGTCAGGCGGGGGTCCGACAGATCACTTCCACTGTAGAGCTGAAAGATAAACAGAGTCTGTTTAGAGGGGCCTGAAGCCAGTGCAGTAAGGAATACAGCAATGGTAGGGAAAGGGTTATAAGAAACAATATTTTTAAAATGGTATTTCTTAGCACTGACCATAAATAATAAAAAAAGAACATAGGTACCAAACCACTATGTGTTCCATTTCATACACATTTTTAGTATGAGCGATATAGTGTTGATAGAGTTTTCAAAGTATTAAAGGATGCTGCACCTTTGGCATGCAGTAACATTTGTCCTCCAAGTGTGTTCTGCACTACACCACTGTGGGGTAATGGTAATAATAAAGGTAACTACATGATCCAGGCTTACTAACCGAATAGTCTTTACAGCATGAAAAACCATATTGTTCAGCATTTATTTCTGCAGGTTTTAGACTTCTGTCTAATTTTTCAAAGAATGTTTTCAAAGCACTATTCAAAGCATTTATGTTTTCATTGTTCACAGATAAGAAGTAGAGCTACGGTCATGAGGCATGTCGTGAAAAACGGTTTACTCTGGGATGATTTATACATTGGATTTCAAACACGAATTCAAAGAAACCCAGATATCTACCATCATCAGTATGTTTCTGATTATACTTTTGCAGCTGTTTGTGCATTATGTATGCTATGTCCTACAAGTTTAGGAACCTGTCACACACGTCAGCATTACAAACTGAAAATATAATTTAAAAAATATGATTCACAACAGAAGAGATAGGTTGAACAAAAAAGGGAGTGAGCTGTGTTCATTGTGGCACTTTGTAACTATCCACCGTAGGTAGGTGTTTGTTTGTTTGTTTTTGGACCCTAGCAATGCTCCTATCAAGAGATAAAAGAAGCTAAAGATGACCTAATTATGACATAATTGTTAGTTCTCCTGCACACAATTACTCTACATCCCTAATGCAAACTTCTCTAGAATGGGGCTTTTTACAGAAGTACACACCTTAGCTGTCTTGCCAGTGTTTAGTGGAGAAGACACTCTGATGTCAACGCTTTCTGACTAAAAGTCTTCCTGAGGCTGTAATAAAAAATAAAAAAACTCAAAGTGCTGCCTGGGCTGCAATAGAATCTAGACCAGTCATTCTCAACCAGGGTGGCTTCTGGCTTCCTCAAACTGTCTTGAAATTTTCACACATCGTCATGGCTTTGCATGTTGCAGACAGGCTGGCCTTAGCCACGGGCGTCCCGAGGCTGGGTGTCACCCGGAGCAGAGACCGGGTGACACCCCACCGTGTCATCATCGCGCATGCACGTGATGTCACCGCGCACACGCTGTCATCTCATTGACGCCTGCCGGCGGCCATCTTGGTGTTGGATGCCGGCAGAGAGAGAAGGGGACGTTCACGCAGCGGTATGAGGTATGCCGCCGGCTCCCCTCCTCTCGCCTGACACTGTCGGGCTCTCCGTCCATGACTGAGTGCCCAACTTTTTAGAGGGGGTGACACTAAAATGACTGTCAGTCATTTTGGTGTCACCCCTCCAATGGTAGAAGCAGGGACACCGGCACTCCAATATAAACGTGAAGAAAAAGTCTTATTTATTGAAGAAATGTGACAGCTTCTGAAGTGAAGGGGGCTTTTGATGTAAAAAGAGGCTTTTGATGTGAAGGGGAGCTTCTGAGGTGATGGAGGAACTTGGATATGAAAGGAAGTGCCTAATATGAACAGGGAGACTCTGACATACAATGGGGGGCTACTGATGTAAAGGGAGGACTCTAATGTTAAAGGAGGGGGCTCAAATGTGAAAAGGGGCTTCTAATATGAAGAGGGCTCCTAGTGTGGGAGGTGGGCTCCGATGTTAAAGGAGAGGCTACTGACGTACAAGGGAGGACTTTGATGTGAAGGGGAACCCCACTTTTTTCTCTTTTTTTGTGGGGTTCCCCCTTAAAATTAATTGCATCTTAGACTGGGGTGCCTCTAAATTTTGCATACTTTTAAAGGGTGTTGTGACTGAAAAAAGGTTGAGAAATGCTGATCTAGATACCTCCCTGTGCATCTGACATTAGCTCTTCTTGACTATAGACTCCATATGGGTCAACTGCAACCATTCCAACCCCTAATGATTCTGTACTGGATCCAGGTTATGTTTACATGCACACAAATTATATATATGTTTGGCCACCTGAGTCCTGACAGCTGTTTTGAAAATGGTGTTGAGATATTGTCTATTCTTCCCAGTGCCGTTTCAAAGCTGTGGCTGGTTCTCAGCAGATTCTGGGATCCAGCATTACCAATAAGACTGCTTTCTCTCAGACAGCCGGAACTCAGCACTAAGTCCAGGGGCTGAAACAATCAGCTTTAGGGCTTCCGATGCTTCTACAGTTTGCAGCATAGGAGCAATAGGAGCAGCATAAGGGTCACACTAATATAATAATGTAATATTTTAAACAGTGAACTTTGTTGGCTATATTCTGCGGTAAATATATGGGAGTGCACAAATTGCATAAACATAATGTTATATGTAAATGTTAAAATAAAGGAAAATGCATTCTTTCCTGTTATTTTACTATTTATTTCCAATAAAAAACAAGAAAATATACGCATTTAATTTTGCTACCAAATTAAATAACTATTTGTCCTGAAAAAAATTATGTATGATATCTAGGGGTAGACCAGCGCTGGACAAATCCCAGGAGCCAGATAGCCAATGTTCCTTAAAAATGGCAGCTGTTAACTTTTGTTGTTATCATTGGAGCTGCCCACCCCCGCTCCCCCCAAAAAAAAAACCCTGCTTGCTCCCAGATTGGCTCCTGAATTACATCTTAATTGACTCACCCCTGGGGTGGACTACAAAACCTAAAAGATACAAGGTGTGGAATCTTGTTTCAGACATTGCCGAAAACCAAAAAACAGCTCTGGGACCCAGGTGGAGTTTAGGGTGAAAAGGGCCTGGGGACTCAATAGGTTAATTTGACTCAACACCATCTCTACTAGCACCCCTGCCACCCTAGGGCCCCATAGCAGCCACGTGGGTTGCTATGGCTATAGTTATGCAACTAACCATAAGGTACCAGATCTGATCTTTACTTTGCCACCTAAGAGTACCCAGTACTTTAGGGTATGAGTCACACAGAGACACTCCTGCATCTCCCATACGTTGTGTCTTAGCAACCAATCAGGTCTGCTCTGTCTTTTTCTTTTTTTTTTAAACAGCCCCACTGTGTTTTATTATTTTGATTATATAAAACGTATATACTTTTGTACACAATATGTATAAAATAGTGTCTCTGCATTAACACCACTGATACCTATCTCTTCTAGATTCTGGAACTATTTTCAGATCAAGCTTCCTCTAACACCACCAGACTGGAATGCATTCTTGGAACGAGAGAAACAAAAGGGAAGCAATGCACAAATGTGCAGCACAATGTGAATCCTCACCGAAAGAACACGTCACAACCTGCAACAACTTCTGAAACTCCTAATCAACCTAATCTCAGTCATCAGGATGATATATATTTATATCTTTACACATCCGCCAGTGATTTTGTATAGCAAATTGAGGACTACAAATCCCAGCAATACATTATAAAGCAATTCAGAATGCCAACAGCTTTAGAGGACTACAAATCCCAGCAATATATTTTACAGTAATGCAGAATTACCACCAGTTATAGAGTACATATCCCAGCAGTACATTATACAGCACTGCAGAATACCACCAGGTATAGAGGACTACAAATCCCAGCAATTCATTATACAGCAATGCAGAATACCATCAGCTAAAAGAGGACTATAAATCGCAGCAATATATTATACAGCAATGCAGAATAATATGAAGCTACATACTCTGTGTTGCTCTGGGGTGGCTCCAGGGTCTCAGGGGGGCTGTGCATGGTCTCACCAGGGCTGTGCACAGTCTTACCATGGCTGTGTGGTCTCACTAGGGCTATGTGGGGGGTCTCACCAAAGATGTGTGGACGGGTGCAGGCAGGCGGCGGGAAGGAAGAGGAGGAAGAAGAATGTGAGGCCGGTGCTGTAATCAGGTGCTGTGAGGTGCCCACAAGGCTCTCTCCCTCTCTCTCTTTTTTATAAACACACACACATTCGCTTACCCATACATAGGAGCGGGTGTGAGTGCAGGAGGGCTCGGTGATACCTGCTGACAGCTTGCCCTCTTCCCGTCCTCCGTGTCATGTCCTCTCACTCCTGGCTGACTCTGCCTGACATGCTCCTAGGCCACCCTTCCCCAGTGCCCTCAGGTGCAGAGCGGCGGTGGAGGGAGGGAGCAGTGCAGCCTGCCCCGGCCTGGTGATAATAGGAAATGTTCCCCCCACCCCACTTAATGCAGCGCCTGGGGCACATCCCCCCCAACTTTGGCACTGGACTGGTGTCAGAATATCTAAAGAAGCTTGTAAAATTAAGTTTTGGCCAGTTTTAGTTGGACAAAACATTCATTACTATTCATTATTAAAATGTCAGATTAGCTTTGATATAGCACAACCTTTTAAAATAGCTGACACCGAGCAGTCCATAGTATCAGGGTCCATTCACACCAGCAGATGTGCTGGGTTCCCAGTCCAGTGCTGATGCGCTTGATCATGACGCATCACACTGCTTTTTTTTTCTTTGTTAGAACTAGAAGGGATATTTCAGTAAGTTCTATGGGCCTATAGTCGCACTGCATTACGGTGAAAAATACTACTGCATGCCGTACTTTTTTCAGTGCACATCACCACAATACAGTGGTTTAAATTGAACCCATCTGGAACAAGGCAAATTGCCTTGTCTTGTGCTGTGGCTGTGCTGGAAAAAATGGTCAGAGCAGCCCCAATGCATCCAGTTTGAATGGTCCCTCAATCAAAAAGGATATCAGACACAAAGTTGTATGCACGTTAAGGGCATGTTACATGCAATGGTGCCCGTTGGAGCCTTTTATTTTGAATGGCCCCCCAATGAACTTGCATTGCAGTGCACTACAAAGCAGGGTGACACAAAATCAATAGGCTGCTGTAACATAACATACGTTTATGTCAACCCAACGAGGACACACACTGAAGTGGAAAGTGTGTGAAGGGGCCCTGAATATTTTTCTATCTCTTTAGTGTGGTGCATAGAACAAATGTTGCTACATTTGAAGGCATTCTAAAGTCACAGCAAATACTATGCTGTTATAACATCAGCATTGTAACAGGAATACATAAAAATTCCTTTTATGTAGTGAGTGGTGCCTTCTATCTGCCCATCACTTTCAATAACATCCTGGATTCCCAGTGCGCTTTGCATCTGTTTTTGATATGATGCAATCTCGATTTCTCAAGACTACATATCACATAATGCATTGCTTCCAGCAAGCAATGATGATAGTACATTGTGGGAAGTTCAGACGTTGAGTTGTGGCAGGCTTAGTTAGAATGGTGACACAAGGAAGTCCATATTCACAGGGCTGAGTGAAATTGTGTCAGTGTGCTGACACTGAGGAAGTATATCCTATGGGCATGTTCAATAAGTAGGTTTACAAACTTCAAGATCTATATAGTTATTGACAAATTATGGAATATGTTATATGTTATATGTAATATAATACAAAATTATGGAATATGTAATTATAATGAACTTATGGAAATTCAACGAAGAAATACATATTTATTTTTAGTTTTTGACCATAGATACCCTTTAATGTTATGACACATTGCACTATTGACATGAATGTATATTGACAGCAGTAATGTAATTTCTGGAAAGTAAAATTTAAATGATTATACTGAATGAAAAGAAGTCCTATGTAACTGTAAGTGAATGAAAAAGTACATTATTATCTACTATTTATTAGGTACCTGTGTAGAAACACTTTGGAGAGGCTTTGCATTTGTATGGTAAGGGAACTCTTTTTAGTATCTATATTTATTTGTTTAATTAAGTTGCAGACAGCAAACACAATTCTTTACACATGTCTAACATAACATTGTAACTGTATTGTAACTGTACTGTCTCCCTCCATTTTGTAAAATACTACACAAACTGTTGGCACTATATGAATCCTGTATAACAATAATAATAGTCCTTTAACAGGGCAACCAAACAACAAACCTTTTCCGAAGGGGAGATCCACAATGATAGCCTACATTTTTCCCTCGTGACAGGTGAACTTAAAATCCATGGCAACCAAAAACAAAAAAAAGCTTTAATTGATAGGCCCATTGCAAAGAGCTGGTGAATGGGTTTATGGGTTATTATAACAATTTTGCTCCGTGCATTGCTAATTTGTGTATCTTGTAAAGCTGCATAGCATTTCTTCATATAATCGTAAAGAAGAACTCCAGGCAAATATAAAACTTACCTTTGCAATGGGACTACCCCTCTACGACAGGGGATGGTTATGTGCTTGCTTTGGTCTAGGGGCTGGAATCAAGCAGAATTACCTGATCCCTGCTTCCTCTGGGAATGCTAGACTGGATCCTGCAGCCTCCAGTGGTCTAAGGACCACTGATGTCATCACATCTTGTGCAATCCCACTGACCTGCATTACACAGGAACATTCCATAACTGGAGTGGGAGGGGGCAGTGGTAAGTGCTGACCATTGCAGGAACTGGGATCTGGTAAATAAAACAGCTTTATTTGAGTACCCTAGATAAAGCAAGCACTAAACCTTGCTGCGCCACTGTAGCCCCACTTAAGGGGGAGTTTTTTATTTATTAAGTTCTTCTTTAGAGTTAATTAGTTTGCAGAATATAGTGACTGAATATAAAAAGTCAGTAGGGAAAGGGAAATTCATAATTTATTTTTGGTGAGAACATATTTTTACTTTATTGTAATGTTTATCATAAAGTCATTTGTATGTATATTTTTAGATTTGCATGTGAGCTGTAACCAATTGGCATATTCTACCTCTAGTAAATATGTATCGAACCAAAGTGCTGAGCTCAATTCTCAATTGCACATAGGGGGTATTCCTTTCAGTTCATTTGAGACGTGATGAGACATAGAATAACATAGATTGTCTTTAACCCAGAGCTTCATGACATCTGCATTACATTTCTTGATGTATTGGTTCGCATCTCTGACGGTCGCTTAGACACATCTTTATTTTGTAAACCAACAGACCGTAATACCATACTACATTCCCGCAGTTCTCATCCGAGACATTTACTTGACAACTTACCGATATCACAATTCCTGTGTGTATTACGCATTTGCTCTGATCAGGATGTAGGTCGCATACAACTTGACATCATGTATGCCAAATTCCAACAGAGGGACTACCCAGACACTGTACTTGACCAGGCCCTAGATTAGGCATTTGCAAAAATGTCGACTACAATACCTAATTACAAGTCACTTGGCGACATACCACCCTTTGTTCAGAGATTCAATTGGGCATCACAACTCATATATAGGTCCTCAGTCAAGAACCTCAATATTCTCCGGGCAGACAAACACCTCCTCACACAAATCAAGACCTTGCAGGTATACCGTTGTATGCAAAAGTCTCAGAGACCATTTGGTCCAGGCGAACCCTAGGCACAAATACTCGAAAAGAATGTTTCAATTGTCCCATCGTACGCGTTGTTACAAATGCTTCAACTGTAATGTGTGCAGCACATTAATTACAGGCGACACCTTTCCACATCTACACAGTGGTCAAAAAATATTGCATCAAGGGTTATCTGAACTGCATCACGGAAACATGTGTTTATCTTCTGAAATGTCCATGTAGCCTTGCATATGTCGGCAAGATGATAGGGGCTTTTAAATGACACTTACAGAAGCATCGCAGCGATATCAGGGTTGCCATCAATACTGTGTCCAAAGGGAAACTCCAGACCCCAAAAAACCTGTGGCAGTGCATTTTGCCCTATGTGACACCAGACCCACGAGCTACGCAGTATGGTGATCGTACATGTCACCGCATCGCACAGGGGTGGGGATCATGATAAACATCCCCTCCAACGTGAGGCTTATTGGTTTTACACGTTAGACACAGCCATGCTCAAGGGGCTCAATACAAACCTTGCCCCCTCACATGCTTTGTCCCTGAACGGTAGCCAAGAAAGTTTGGACTTGCTCCTTTCCATGTTGTTTTTATGTTATAATTGATCCCGATTGGTAATATTTTCCACATCAGGGACCTTTTAATTATCACTTTCACAAAGTTTTACAACACAGTTGTTTTTTTATCCCCTGCAGTCTGCATAATTATTTCCCTACCACGGCAGGTGTTCCAGCCATTGTCTCTACTGATGTACAATTTTTTTCACTGACAAATACGTTACCTATAGCCATTATCCACGCTAGGGTGGGTCATGATAATTACGCACTGTCATAACCATCAAACTGTGACATAAAACTCACACACAGACGTTACAGGAGTCATATTTCTCCTTTGTGCACATATCTATCTGACTAAAGTTATCATGCAGCTGGAATGCATG